CATCAGCATGTAAAGGCTTGTGGCCGTTAAATTTCTTAACTTTGACAGTTTATAAATCAAAACTGCTGCTTAAATGAGCTTTTAATTTTTATTTTTTACCCCTTTTGGCGCCCCCCTAGGGTCGGCGCCAGGGGCGGCCGCCCTCCCCGCCCCCCCCCCCCCCGTAGCTACGCCTCTGACGGGAGGGTGCAATTTTTCTATATATACGGTATATAAAAATAATAAAAGTGAATTGCCGTGACACCGTTCACACGATCGCCATGAAACTTTAGGAAGTTGTTGAGAATATTCCTGGGGAGGTTTCTGCGAAAAAAATATTTCAAATTCGCAGGGGTGGCGCCCCGGCAGGGCGCGATTTGTTTTTCTCTATACACGATATATAAAAATAAAAGTCTTTTTTGATTTCACACTGCTCATCCGATAGGCATGAAACTTTGGGGAGTTGATAAGAACAATCTAGAAAAGGGTTCTGTACAAAAATCATTTTTAATTTCGCAAGGGCGGCGCCACGGGAGGGTGCGATTTTTCTCTATATACGGTATATAAAAATAATAAAAGTGAATTGCCGTGACACCTTTCACACGATCGCCATGAAACTTTAGGAAGTTGTTGAGAATATTCCTGGGGAGGTTTCTGCGAAAAAAATATTTCAAATTCGCAGGGGTGGCGCCCCGACACGGCGCGATTTGTTTTTTTCTATATACGGTATATAAAAATAAAAGTCGATTTTGGTTTGGCACCGTTCATCCGATAGCCATGAGACTTTGGGGACTTCATTATACAACTCTAGGGAATGGTTCTGTAAAAAAATAATTTTAAATTTCGCAAGGGCGGCGCCACGGGAGGGTCCGATTTTTCTCTATTTACGGTATATAAACATAATAAAAGTGAATTGCAGTGACACCGTTTATCCGATAGGCATGAAACTTTGGGGAGTTCATTATAAAACTCTAGGGAAGGGTTCCGTAAAAAAAATCATCTTTAATTTCGCAAGGGCGGCGCCATGGGAGGTTGCGATCTTTCTCTATATACGGTTTATAAAAATAAGTCGATTTTGGTGTGACACCGTTATCCGATAGCCATGAGACTTTGGGGGAGTTGATTAGAACAATTCAGGGAAGGTTCTGTAAAAGAAATCCTTTTTTAGTTTCGCAAGGGCGGCGCCACGGGCGGCTGCTATTTTTCTCTATATACGGTTTATAAAATTTCGGTTTCACACCGTTCATCCGTGTACCAAGAAACTTTGGGGAGATGATTAGATCACTCAATGGTAGGGTTCTGCAAAAAAATATTGCATAGCGAGTAAGGGGTACTACTATATTCAGCGGTAAAACTATAACAGGCTTCTAAAAATAACTTTGTAACGCGAGTAAATCCTTCTGTACAGTTTCGTCACCTTTCGAAAGATGAAAAAATAACTTTTTGAATTTGAGGAGCCTACTGTAGAGTTTCGTCACTTTGCGAATGATGCAATAAGCATCTATTATTAGACAATTCAGTCAGAAATTGAGATCGAGCATCTAATAATAGACCATTAGTAACGCTAGCATATTGCTTCAGTCACATTGATATTTAAAATACGTCAAATAATTTTTTTACTTGTTAAAGAAAAAAAATCCTGTTCATTTGTGTCACTTTAGCGAATGACGAAAGCTGCATCATTATTAACAGGATGCTATTTGGCCGATGGCGCCTTTTAGTTTTAAGGAGCCAGGGGTCGTACGCCGCGCCTATGCGGTAGTGTAATCGGAGGGTGGGGGCCCTGAGAGCGCCCCTCTACGTCTCTGACACATGGACGGTCACCAAAGTGTGTTTTACCATATTATTTCGGTGAGTGATTAATGTACACTCAAGGTTTTCATGCGGTAGTGTAGGTAAACCCGTGTCCTGATATTTATGATCCAAGAACAGGCATTGTTTACATTTAAATAACTCATTTTTAGAAAAGAAGGTCACGCGTATAAGAACATATAATTATAATTAATAACGCGTTGGTGAAATCCTAATATATTTCGTCATACTTTCTTCTATCCCCGCGGCAACGCGCGGGGGTCGGGTACGCTAGTATATAATATGATTCCATGTGTATTACGAGGCAGAGGGCGTGATGTGATCCGCATAAATGACATAATTTTAAAAGTAGACTATTAAAAATAATACTGATACTAAGTAAAACCACGCATTCAATTAAATAGGTAGTAATTATCATATGCAAATTGAGAAAAGCATAACTATAAAAAATTGATGTAAATATTTTGTATACAAGTTTTACAGAAAAACTAGAAAAAAGATAATTATACGGCAATTACAAACGCTGTCTTTGTCATAAAAATTAGACTCTATTGCTTTAATTTGTTTAAATGTCTTTCCTAAAACACCACCCTTTGAACCTATATCTCCTGAACATTATATCCCCAATATCTGAATGAAAAAAATTTAAAACTAGGAATGAGAAGACAAGATTAATAGACATGAAATGTCTTTTTGGATTTACTTCCATAGATTTAGTCCAACCAAGAACAAACTACAAGGCAGTTGTTTGATTGTGGAGTTGTCTTTATTAGAAGAGTTGCTCTCCCTAGTTGTCCAGCCTCTTCTGCTCGAGGGTTCGAACTCGGAACCTTTTGTTCCTATTTAGTTGGGTCGAAGTTGTGATGTTGACTTGTGTAACGGAGGGCGAGTTATTTCAGATGATGTAGGATGTATAAACGTGACGATTGTGTTCAGTTGATGTTGTGAAGCGGGTTCTAAATAACTGAAACTACTGGTAGTAGGTGGGGTGGGGGGGGGGGGGTTGGAGTAACTTGTAAACATGTCCCTATGTTAGAGACTTGATTAGACATCTTATTAAACACGCGTTTTACTCAACGTTGTTCCCTAAACGTAAAACAGCGAAAGAATTTTTCATTATATACACCGTTACATTACTTTCTCTATAGTCTATCTATATCATATTCTTTATGTGGTAACGTTAAAAGAAAATCACATGCAAGGGAGACGACAAAGAGAAAAAATTAAATTGAAAACGAAAAAAGAATGGTATTCTCATGTATTGAGAAATATAATTTTTATCAATTTGGATATGAATAATAACAATAGTATTCATAGTTAATCTAAATTAAACATATTTGTTTAAAAATGATTATATTTTTTCCAAAATTATTAAATGCTAACACTTTTTAAAGCTTTAAAATAGAAAGATTTATATTACTCAAATGACATTTAAGTTTACTACCACGGCAAAGTAACTATTGACTATTCTTTTCTAGTGTTTTCTCAAAATTAAAATCTAAATATTAAATGGCAACAGTAATTCGCCGACAAAAGAAAAATAAAGTACAGTGCTGAATCAGCAAAACAGACTCAGAAGAAAACATGAGACCGGAAATCTCTTCCGCAAACCACCTGATGTAAGACAACCTCAACAGTCTTCAGCCCACTCCACACACGGCTTACATACCACTGAACTGACAGAATCAAAATATCGTTGCATTTAATGCAACGCAATTTAATTTTTGGTAAAGAAATTTAAAAAAATGACCCTGCTAATTACCTAACTATAGTTACACATGCGCCATCTTACTTGTCTCGTTATTGTGGAGAAAAAGTGTATACACGTATATAAAATTTGAATATATCATTTCATCCTTGGTCAGTATCTAGATTTTAAAAAAAAACTGTTCTGCATCACATCCCGTAAAAAAAATGGTTAGCTAGTAGTTACATTTCCATTTTTTTTAAATAGAAATACCTTTAATATAAAGGTACTTCCCTTGGTGGCAGTCTTTCTATTACTAATAAAAATATTGAGGCATAAATACCCATGGCAGGATCGTATAAGTGTTGGTTACATTAACCTACATTGATAAAACCCATTTTGCAATGGGTGTTTATTTATAACTGTAAACATATGGTATAAGTAACTGAACATATTAAAATAACGATTGTGTTAATAAATTTGTTGAAAATTATATCATTGTAACAACAAGAAGGCTGCAACACACTAGTCCAATACAAAACGACGAACGAAATTTCGACCAACGACATACACAATCTCGTTAAACTTAGCTCGTAAATAAGACAAGTGCTTTCGTATTTAGCGTAACTGTAGCAATTCCTACGTAGCATAAAGTTGTAACGTAAAGGTTATTACTTTATATTTTTTTATTATAAATACTGTTTGTTATGGAAACGCATGCAGCGTAAAATCGAATTAAAGGAAAATAATTACGTCATGATTAGCCAACTTGACTCGAACCCATATAGTCGTTGACAGCTAGACAGCCCCAAATGACAATAAAAAGTTCGGTCTACAGCATCTTCAATCAAAAAAAAAAATGTGACTGCCTGCCTGTAATCGCTGACTCTTTACGAAAAATTGTGGCTAAAAAGCCCTTAAACTTGATAGGCTTGGTACATAGCATCCCAGCGTGATAACTTTTTCAATAAAGCACAATCACATTCACACAATAAGTTTATATGAACGTCATAAATGGATAAACTCTCACCTCAACGGGTGTAGTAATACTGTGCTGCACTGTGTTGAACAATTGTAGACTTAATTAAACTGAGGTATCGATCTATTAAACACACATTTCACTCAACGTTGTGCCCTCGACGGAAAACAGAGAAAGATTTCGGTTGTCCATACACAATTACGATACTTTCTCTATACTGTATATGAAGAAGTGAAAATAAAACAGGTGTAAGGGAAGCAACAAAATATAAAATATATTTTTAAATCAAAAAATAAAATGCATTTCAAGTATAGTTTATGACATATAATATTGAAAGATTTACATTTAAATAGTTATTGTTGGATATCTATTAGTTTTGAATAAGCGTATTCTCTAGTCACAATTAAATGTGGATCAAAATTAAAACAATAAATACATTTAAAAAATTAAAAACATGTATTTTTTATATAGTTCAACTAACATTGAAATGGTGGTGTTTCGGAATGTTCTTTGATCTCAAATTAAATTATTTAAAATTTAAAAAACCCTGTACCACTAGAAGAAACAAATAATGCCAACGATTCTTCAGGCGAGCCTGGAGCTAAAAAGAGAAAAATGGAGGATGATGCTACAAACAACCACAGTCCAAATGTTTTGGGTACACGTGTGCTAGTGTTTCCTGGTGGATCAATCCCTTACAACACGTTTGTCCACAGCTATTGTGAAAAGGCTAAGCCGTTGATGCGAGGCCTTATGGAACATGCGAACATGGTCAGAATGTGGATTAACTTCTTAATTCCAAAGATAGAAGATGGGAATAATTTTGGAGTCTCAATACAGGAGGACGTGGTGGCTGAGGCAAGACAAGTTAAAAGTGAGGCTGCCAGTTACCTCGATCAGATATCCAGATATTATCTCCAGATAGCACGCATCATCTCAAAAATAGCCAAATACCCACACATTGAGGATTACAGACAATCCATTAAAGAGTTTGATGAAAGACAAATGCTCAATCTGCAAAATGCTATTCTCGAAATGAGAAATCAATTCGCATCACTGCATGATATCATCATGAAGAATATTGACAAAATCAAGGTTCCAAGATCAGCCAATGCCCAGAATATGTATTGAATAAATCTTTTTGTGTTGATTTCTTGAACTGATACATCGGATGGATACTGTTACTTCAGTTGTAAAATGGCATAGGATTCTAGTTTATATTTTGTAATAATATGGTATCCAGAAGTTTAATGTATGTCTTTATGGCTCAATTTGTTGCAGCCATTTTATTAACACAAATAACTTGTCACAAAAGGTGTTAAGTTGTTCTGATGGCCATTTTTTTTTTCACAAATGGTTCAAGTTCTAGTAAATATTTACATTTTTACTTTCTCGTATATACGTAGTTTAGAGAAAGTATTGTAATCGTGCAAAAAAAAAATCGAGATTTTTTCAAATCTCGACGTTTTACACCTCACTGATACGGAAAAACATAATTTTGCAATCTTGTCCGTATGTCTGTGTGTGTGTCTGTGTGTCTGTGTGTCTGTGTGTCCATGTGTAAACACGATAACTTGAGTACCGTTACTGCTAGGTTGAAGAAATTTCATATATAAGTATTTTATCAAAATCGTAGATCCGTATTAACTTTTGAGCGATTTCCGATAACCGGAAGTGGTACTTTTTCTACTTTGAATTTTTCAAAAGCCTATAACTTGAGTACTATTTCAGATAGATAAATGAAATTTCACATGTAAGTACAAGATCTAATTCTCTACCTTCTGTTAAATTTTGAGTAATTTCCGTTGACCGGAAGTAGTACTTTACGCTACTTCCGATTTCCGATTTTTTACGTGGCATTTTAAAATGTTGAAAATTATATTTGCATTTAAAAATGTGTAAAAAGTATTTACAGTGTATGTTTACTGAACAGATGTATGTATGTTTTAAACTGAAGAAAGCTAACAAAAACTTGTCAATAAAAAAGTTAAAACATTTAAAAAAAAAAAAAAAAAAAATTAAATTTAAAAAAAAATGTCAGTAAAAAACGTTTTGATAACAAGCTTTTATGTAACAATGCACTAAAAAGAAGAACAAAATCATACACTACTATTTAAATAACAATAAAAAAAAGCGTAAATCACATTTGTATCTATAGGATACCTTTACTAATGTTTAGGAAGAGACCGTAGTTTTTCTTTATATAGAGAAAAATATAGAGAAAACAATGCTACATCCAACTTTACTATTAACAGACTATAGATTAGCATCTTAACTATTAAGTCTGTAGTGATTAAAGCTTATACACATACACACACACACACACACACACACATATAAAGATTTATATATATATATATATATATATATATATATATATATATATATATATATATATATATATATATATATATATATATATATATATATATATATATATAGCCTATATATATATATATACACTATATACTTGTTTCTTGGGGGTGACACCACGAAGGGCCGTACCGGGTGACACCCGACCTAGCGACGCCACTTAGTAAGGTAACACAAGATGGTTTAACACTGTTGCATTTGCTTTCTCATCCTACACAAACATCAACCTTCACTTTCCACCCCAACAATCCTCCGCGTTCACTCCTACACACCTCCTTTCTCTCGCTCACAACAAAATCACTGTCACTCGACCAGTCGCTTCACTTTTACCCCTGTCCACTCCGTACAACAACATACACGTAAACATATCCGTCCAACGTACATACCTTTCATACACATCCCATGACCACATACCCTCCATATGTCCCTAGCTGTAGAAATCAGCAAAATAAATAAAATAAAAAACGAAAGAAAACCCATAACTCAACACAATATGTGTATATATACACCACATCTCCACCGGAGGTAAGACAAAATCAACAAACCCTAACCCACACCACATCCGGCTTAGATACCACTCAAATGACATCAACAAAATATTGATGCATTTTATGCACCGCAATGTTCAATAGAGAGACGCAAGCAATAAAACATAAAAACCCTATTAATTACCTAACTGTATTGACACAGACGACAACCTACTCCCCTGTGATTTGGCTGAAAATTGAAACATACAAACTTATCCACTACAAACCGACACACGAGATTTTTAACAACGACACTGATAGGTAAACTGGTATTAAATTAAGTGACCTATAAATTTTGTGTCGGTAGCACTTTTGGACGGAGTGGTCTAGCGGTAGAGAGCTGGACTTCTAACTCGAGTTCGAATCCGGGTTCAAGTGAGTAGACCGTCCCTGAGTCCATCCAACTCTGATGGGTACCAAACTCACGTTAGGGAAAGTAAAGGCGGCTGGGCATAGTGCTGATCACACTAGCTCTTCATATGCCGAGGTCACAGAAACAAGTGAACTCTACTTCAATTGCCTCATAGACCGTCAGGTTTGAAAGGGAAACTACTACTAGCACATTGGGGTGTATATGGGTAATCATGGAAATTAAGCTACGGTAAAAATAAAATACACCTACACGCGGTGTAATTTAAACCACCACCAAACAACATGCTTACCCGTACGTCCGCACACAGTGAAAGTCTTCCTCATAGATACCCACATTCTCAAACTTTGATAGCTTATACCCGTGCTCCGCTAGAGTGTGGATAAGGATATCAGCTTTGAGCACCGCATATGATTTCCTGCTGATACATATGCGCACTTCCCGCTAATTTACACTCTGCACCATAAGCTGATGCAGGTTCAAAATGATGCAAAGAAACGGAAGTCGTTGTATAATGTTTTGAAACATGAACGTGAGGTACCTAGGAATGAATCTCATAGTGCCAGCATTAACTTTGCTTGGTTGTAGGCATGTGTCTTCACAATGTGAGTAATTTATGCTAGAATGAAAATTTATGCTAGAATGAAATAATGTGGTGTATCTCGTTTAGTAGAGTAACGTATATTAGTATGGAAACTAGTTCCTTATACACGCATAAAAAATATAACGATAGACTAATGAATGAGTCAAGTCGTCAAAAACTCATTTAAGTGTATACTTTTATAAACATATGGCGATATTTAAATGTGTAATTTATTTTTAAATTGTCCGCATAAATACAGATCTATAAAAGTAATTAGTAGTATGTGGTGGCTATATATATATATATATATATATATATATATATTATATATATATATATATATATATATATATATATATATATATATATATATATATATATATATATATATATATATATATATATATATATATATATATATATATACATTTCCCCATCCCCCGCCCGTGAGAAATGCCTGAAAAAGAAAACTTTAAGTTTAGTGTAAAGTTTGGAAAAACAAAAACATAAATTATTGAAAAATAAAAGCAGAAAGATAATATATTGATGAGTAGAACGTCAGTGATAATTAATAAAATGGGCATTAATCTTAACCATAATTGTAACACTAGCCCTAGCCCTAGCCCTAGCCCTAGCCCTAGCCCTAGCCCTAACCCTAACCCTAACCCTAGCCCTAGCCCTAGCCCTAGCCCTAGCCCTAGCCCTAGCCCTAGCCCTAGCCCTAGCCCTAGCCCTAGCCCTAGCCCTAGCCCTAGCCCTAGCCCTAGCCCTAGCCCTAGCCCTAGCCCTAGCCCTAGCCCTAGCCCTAGCCCTAGCCCTAACCCTAACCCTAACCCTAGCCCTAGCCCTAGCCCTAGCCCTAGCCCAAGCCCTAGCCCTAGCCCTAGCCCTAGCCCTAGCCCTAGCCTTAGCCCTAACACTAGCCCTAGCCCTAGCTTATGGCGTGCCTTTATATATTCAAATGTCTAAACTTCGGAAATGGGTCATGGTTGCGTACGTGAATTGAACTGAAGTTTATACAATGTGGCGGGTCTTCACTTAAATAGTGTGGCTTTTCTAGACAAAGAGTTGTAGCGAGAGGGGAGTGGGGTTACATATGTCCCCCGGCGCCGACCCTAGAGGGCGCTAAAGTGGGTTAAATGTATTTTAGCTGCAGTTTTGCATTATAAATATAAAAACATATATGTAGGGGCAGGCGGCCTAAATTGAAAGTTTGTCCTGAGGCTCAGACAAAGGTCGCTACGCCTCTGTCTATACCAGGGGTCTCCAAACTACGGCCCGCGGGCCGGATGCGGCCCGCGAGGTCCTCTCATCCGGCCCGCGGAGATCCTTTTGTCCACGGAAAAAACATTTGTTGGTGATGGCTGAGGAACTTTGCTCAGAAAAATCACGACATGCCTGGAAATACTGGCCCCTGAACTGAAATTTGATAGTTAATGCGGCCCTCGGACTGAAAAGTTTGGAGACCCCTGGTCTATACAAATCCAATCCAAATTATTTTAAACAAGTTTTTAAGTTTCACATTAATTAAAAAAAAACAATTAACTGTAGTCTAAGGACAAAAGTGTGTATTGACTTGTGTATTGAATTGTGTATCTTATTCTACAGTTTTCGTAAAAACAATAGTACCATATACAGTGGCGATAGGTGATTCGTTTTCAGCATTCTGCCATACTAAATTAGCCAAGCCAACCTATACTAAAGATGTCACAGGCGTGTACAGTCTAAGTTTAACATGGGATAATGAGGATTTTCACTCTGGATACTATAAATATATCAAAGTTGAAGGGAATAAACTAAAAAAGGTGAGGTCTGATCTGCATGACAAGTATAATAACCTTACTTATACATCTGTGGTCACTTGGGAACAACGGGAAGCAATCACACCTCTTTAAGAGGAGCAGAATCTCCTAGATACTGGAGAATTGACAAAACAAGTTAATAAAAAGTCTAGTGACAATTTAAGAGTAATTTCCTTAATTAATTTTTTGTGACCGAACGAAAGGATATTTTTGAAAACTTTCATCGGCAATATTGTTCTTAATTATGGCAGGAATCGATTGGTAAATGTTTCAAGTCGCTAAGTGGTCTGGTTGCCGAGATATGGGCCAAAAACTGCATTTTTTCGAGGTTTTTTGGCTTCTCCAGGAAATCCAGGAAGGAATTCCGGGATTTTTTTTGGCCCATAATCATCCTCGGAACTTGCTTAACATATTTTCTTTGGAACTCGTCCTCGATATTGCTTTGTTGAGGAGGAGATACGACTTAAAGCTGCGGACACACATCCATCCATCCATCCATCCATCCATCCAGAAATAACGAATTAATAATCGCAATTGCCAGTATGGAAATTGCGCTAAAAATGGCAGAAAAAACTATTATACACGCACACATAATTTGTTTACCATAACATTT